TGGTCAAAGATGAGGCAACAAGAGCATGAAAGAACAATAGTGACTGAAAACTGATAGAAACAGTTAAAAAATAAAAGTTTCCCATTTATAAATCAAAGTTTTTATTGAAATGTAGAGAGTCCATAAGAAAAAAAACAAACACGGAGACACCAACTCTTAACTCTGAAAATTAGTAATTAAGGGGGAAGAATTGCACATTGATTTTCCCTTCAACAATGGTGTAGTGGAGGCCTACTAGCGCCAGGCACTGGCCACGGGGTACTGAAGATTCCTCAGGAAAGCAAAATAAATATCCACCCTCGTGGATCTCCTCTGTGACTCCTTAGCACATACCTATATTTCAAGGTAACTAAATAGTTCTCGTTATTAAGGGAAAGTTCTACTTTACAGAAGAATTCAGCTCACAAGTGTAGAAGAATTGATAGAGTTAGAAAGACAACTGTATTGTAAATCCTAATGAAAGAATGGATCCAGGAGACAGTGACCAGTGGTTCAAAGCCATCAGTTAAGAGACTGAGAGGGAAGCTAACGAGGCAGGATGGGACTGCAACCCCTAACCCCTGATCAATCCTAGCGTTACTAGAAATTAGCAGACCAGAGTCTGTGATCCTGTTGTGAGGCAGCAGAAAACTCACAGTACCATATTTCCAGCATTCTAGCCACAACAGTCCAACCTGAATTAAATCAAGCCTTTTGCATGAACTTCAAGATTAAATAAAATATAGGGGATAGAAGAACAAATTAAATACAACAAGGGAGAAAATAGATCTATCTAGCATGTGAGACAGTCCGAACAGCAGCAGACCTGGCTTCTTCAACAAAACATTGGCATGAGGAAATATGAAGCTGGCACAGGCTCCTCTGGATCAAAGGAGATTTAAAAGAAGCAACAACCAAATACAGTGTGGACTTTGCTTGGATCCTGAGTTGAAGAAACTATCTGTAAAAAGTCAATTTTGAGAACAATTGGGGGAAATTGAACGTGGACTAGTCGTTAGTTTTTGTTAAAAAGAAGAAAATTCACTACAATGATAGCATCATAAGTATATATGAAAATGTTCTTGGTTTTTAAGATTTTATTTATTTAGGGATGCCTGGGTGGCTCAGTGGTTTAGTGCCTGCCTTTAGCCCAGGGCGTGATCCTGGTGTCCTGGGACTGAGTCCCACATCTGGCTCCCTGCATGGAGCCTGCTTCTCCCTCTGTGTCTCTCCCTCTCTGTTTCTCATGAATAAATAATTAAATATTTAACAAAAAAAGATGTTATTTAGGTATTTATTTGAGAAAGAGAGCACGAGCATGAGCTGGGGGAATAGCAGAGGGAGAAGGAGACTCCCCGCTGAGCAGGGAGCCAGATGCGGGGCTGATCCCAGAGTCCTGGGGTCATGACCTCAGCTGAAGGCAGATGCTTAACCAACTGAACCCACCTAGGTGCCCCATGTTGTTGGTTTTTAGAGATGAAATAAGAACCTCAGTGCTAACTGAGGCTATTTCAGTGGCATGGTACATCATCCACATCAGTCAAATAAGAATTTGAGTAAAAAAAAAGGCATAATAGAGGTCTTAAAATTTTATTTTATATTGGTAATAGGTTTGATGTACAATTGGTAATAGGTTAGCTATTAAAGTGTGAAATATTCAACTCAAGGATATGGAAAAAATAATTGAAGGGAAAAGAGTAAGAAAATAGGAAGAATGGATTAAAGAAAAGCAGAAATCAATGAATTAGAAAATAGAATTATTTTATAGAATACTTAATAGAATAGCACTCATATAACACAAGGGCAAATTCACTGAAAAGGACAAGATAATAAAAATCTGTAATGAGGCTAATTAAGAAAAAGAGAAAGCCCAAATGTTAGGAATGAGACAAGAAATATAGCCAGAAGTATAGAGGAGATAAAATCAAAATATTATGAACAACACAATAGATTTAAAACTCTTGTTAGTGAAAAAATTCCCAAGAAAATCCCCCCAAAAAGAAATTAATTCAATATGCAAGAGATGTAAGAAATAGAAAAATTATCAAAAAACAAAACAAAACAAAACCTAAGTGGCTATTTACCCAAAGGATACGAACATAATGATTTAAAAGGGTACCTGCACCCCAATGTTTATAGCAGCAATGTCCACATTAGTCAAACTATGGAAAGAGCCCAGAAGTCCACTGATAGATGAATGGATGAATGGATAAAGAAGGTGATTATACATATATAATATCATATCACAGAATATTACTCAGCCATCATAAAGAATGAAATCTTGCCATTTGCAACGACGTGGATTGAGCTAGAGGGTGTTATGCTAAGCAAAACAAGTCCATAAGAGACAAATACCATTTGATTTCACTGATACGAGGAACTTAAGAAACAAAACAGATAAACATAGGTGAAAGGGAGGAAAAATAAAATGAAAATAGAGAGGAAGGCAAACCATAAGAGATACCGAACTCTAGGAAACAAACTGAGGGTCGCTGGAGGGGAGGTAGGTGGAGGGTTGGAGTAACTGGGTGATGGGCACTAAGAAGGGCACTTGACGTAATGAGCACTGGGTGTTATATGCAACTGATGAATCACTAAATTCTACCCCTGAAATTTGAATTCAAATAAAGATTAGGAAAAAAAAAAAAAACTACCTAACTGGCACCAGTCTCATTCTTTTCAGATTTTTTCAAAACCTCTAGAAACAGGTATATGTACGCTACATAAACCGTTTGAGAATACACATCAAGGTATGAAAATGTTATTAATTTTATATTGTATAGTTAATGTAAACTCAAAGAATTATAGATTCCCAGAGGATTTCTGTGTAAGCGCTAAGATGATACTCTGTCTCAGCCATTGCTAGCCAATGCCAAAAAGCAAGACTGTGAGGACTCTGGGGTTCTCCACCTGGCAAACAGGTAATTCCTTGAAAGGAATGGAGGCAAGGAACCAATCTGGCAATGATAGAATGGCAGAGTGGGAAAAGCACTGAAACAGGAAATAGGTTTCACCTTGGTTCTGCTGCAGGACTCAGAAGGTGGCTGAGGTGGCTAAGGTTTTAGCCACCTCTCTGGGACTCATTTTCTCCACCTGTAGAGGAGTTGGAGTAAATGATCTTCCTATGGACTCTTAAGTATTCAGTTCTATAAATTCTCATTCAGAAGGGTCAATGAGAACGCTGGTAACAGTAGGCAATAAACTCATTGGAATGACTTTAAATATCAGTGGTTCCTAACCACTGAGAGACGTGATGGGCAACTTTTGGTGCCTGCCCAGCCTAAATCCTCCTAGAGGCTCCCTCTTCCATCCACCTCAACTACAGGACTGGTCCTATTGCTGCATGTTATAGATCCCTTTAGAGAAAAACATCCCTCCAATCACAACAACCATATTCCATTAAAAAGATTTATACACACACACACATACATGTACATGCAGTGGAAGTAGATGTGCGAGGAGGGCACAGACAAGACCCATGAAGGTAGGAAATTTATTTGGCTTAGGAGTCTTGAGTCTCTGGTGCCCAGACCAGTGCCTGGCTTTCACTAAGTGATTGTCCAATGAGCCTTGAATCTCTATCCCCTGCTTGGTTTCCATGAAATACTCATGTATTTCTCTAATCATTCTTGTTTCCCATTAAGCTAGTACAAGTTGGTTTCTTACAACCAGAAAACCCCACGAAATATATTAGCGGCCCTTCCCTTCATAGTCATCACTCACTTCACTTCAGGTATACAGAAACACCTGGCCTCAGGAACACATCACCAGACTGCATTGTCACAACTTCTGCCCAAGAATGTGGAATTGGTGTATTAGGAGGCTGGGTCAATGGTCAGTGGCGCTGGAGTGTGGTGGTGAGAGGCAGGGAGATGCACAAAGGCTGGCTGGCAAAATTGATTAAAAAGTTCAGAGAGGGAAATCGACCATAGTGGCTTTGTGAGAACTTCATATTCTTTCAATAAAGTCCTTTTCCCCACCCCCACTTAAATTGTAGTATATTTCCCTTCCCATTAGTCAAAACCAAACGGCAAACTTTGTGGGATGATGAAACATTCATTATTTTGATGGTGGTTTCATGCATATGTCTAAATCATGTTTTATACTTTGAACTGTGCAGTTTATTGTACTTCAATTATATATCAATAAAGTAAAAAAATGTGGAAAGAGCTTATGTCTAAATCTTTGTTATTTTACAATACTCAACAACGTGTCAATAATGGTACAATGTTTAAGGAGGCCCTTTGTCATGAGGTGCTATTTTGGAACACGCTTAATATTAGCACTTCTTTATTTATTCCAATGCTTCTCACCCCTACCCCCAGCTCCCTCCTATCCCTCAAGGAAGTGAACATGTAATAAGAAATAGTAAGTTGTGAGAGTAGTCAAGTTGGTGAACTCTAATTCACGATCAGCAGAACTAAAATGCAAGACTACACATTATTTTAATTTATCAGGGAGATCTTACATTTTAATCTTATTCTCTAAACCCCTCCCAGGGATTGCAATTTACTTTACACTTTTATAATTGTAAATTATTTTACCCTAATTAATCATAGGGCAAATTTGGCTCTTATTCCTTACAGAAGTAGTAACTGATTTAACACAAACCAGTGTCATGGCTTGTTAAAATTATCTATGTACATAACACACTTTAGGGACAGGGTCAATAATTTACCTTGATTTTCCAAATCACAGTGTCCAGTACAGAGTGACTAAGGATAGGGAAAGGGACTGAAGGCTACAACGGAAGACCGAGGAGAAAGAAAAAGGGGTTATGTTGGGGTGCAGATCATTCAGGATTTTGTAGACCACAATAAAGACATTGGATTTTATTCTAATTATAATACTAAGCCATTGGAAGATTTTGAGCAGAGGATTGGCGTGGTCTGATTTATATTTTACAACAGGGATCACTCTGGTTGCTGTATGAATAATTACAGGATAGTGTGGGAGTTGGGTATATACCAGAGTATAACAAGAGAAGTGTGTGCACATATTCACTGAAAGACAGATACGAAAATGTTTATAGCAACTTTATTCATAATAATCACAAACTGGAAACAATCAAAATTTTCATCAACAGTAGAATGGATTTATAAATTGCAGTACAGTCCTACAATGGAATACTGCACAGAAGTAAAAAATGCTGCTGCTACATGCAACATGGATGAGTCACACAGTATTGAACAAAAGACACAAGAGCACATATAATTATTACATTTACATGAAGCTTTGAAAAGACAAAAGCAAACTATGGTGATAAAGGTCAGAATAGAGTTTCTGTGTGCAAGAGGGACATGAGGGCATCTGCTGGGGTGCTAGAAATGTTTGGTGTCTTGATCTGGGTGATGGGTTCAAGGGTGTATATAAAAATCCACTGAAGCATACATTTAATATTTACACTTTAGTGAATATACCTCAATAAAAAAATATTTTTAAAGAAATTATATAAATGGAGAGATATAACCATGTGTTAATCTAGTGCTGTCTTCCAAATATTTCTGGTTTTCTTCTGAGGCACATGGAAGGATTACACTCTTCCTTGAACTTTGGTGTGACCATGGGATTTGTTTTGGTCAGTGAAAGTGCTTTAAGAGCCTATAAGGGATTTGCTGTATTGTTTTCATTTCCCAAAATGAGCAGCCACATCCTACATGCTATCTGCTTGGTTAACCTGAGTCCCAGAATGAGGACAACTTAGAGCAGGGATCAGTGAGCATTTTCTGTGGGGTCACATAGTAAATATTTTAGACTCTGTGAGGCATGCATTCTTTGTCACAGCTATTTCAATTCTGCGATCATAGAACAAAAGCAGCCATAGCCATAAATAAGTGGGAAAGGCTGTCTTCCAATACAACTTTATTTACAGACACAGGCAACAGGATGGAAATTGCCTGTGGACTGCAGTTTGGTGACCCTTGACCTCGAGCAAAGTCCCTAGCCAAGTTGCAAGAGAAAAGTTATTGAGATTTTGTGATTGTTATTCTATGACAACTTTGTCCATCTTGATACAGAAATTGGCACCATTTAAATAAAAAACTTAAACATACCACACATTGGCTTAGTTGGTAGGCATTCAGGAAACTGTTACCAGAGGATGGAAGAAATAACTTATGGGGCAAAAATCATGTTATGGAGTGTGAAACTGTCTCCTGGGAAAGCCTGGAAGGCACAGAATCTATCCTTTACTAACGGGGCAGGAAGGAAAACAAAATGTTTTATGGTTGCTGTTGGCTGCATTTGACAAAATGTATAGAAGAGAGATGACCTCAGAATTCATCAATTTGCAAGCAGAAATGAAAGGGCGTAGAGTTCACAAATTTGAGTACTTACTAGATAGGATGAGGCCACTTCTCAATTATGAAAAGATTAAAGAGAAATTCTTTAATTCAAAGAATTAAAGAAACCCACTAAAATTCAGTTTTGCAGCAAAGATCACTGGATGACTATCACACCTGTTAAGATTTCTGGATGAGCTAATGTGCCTCAGACTCAAAGTCCAACTAAGTGTAACACTGGTTAATCCCTTAAATTGGACAAAATGACTCAAGGAGAAAAAAGACTATGGGTATAGTTCTTCCACAACATCCCAAAAGCCCCAGTTACCCAGATATTAAGTTCAGAGGCACGTGAACAAGAAAGCAAAGAAATACAGCAAATCTAAGACATACACTTTGACTACATGTTACTTTTGCGTCATCATCCTTGGAGAATTGATGAGGACATTCTATAGGCAAGAAAGCAAGAGAACTGGGTATCTAGGGACACCAGGAAGATAGTCATTCCTCTAATACTTTATCAAATTTACTTACTTTTAAATCCCAGAAGAGCCAGAAATCATCTGTAAAGGAAAGTAGCAAGTAAATAGTATGCCATTTTCTTCTAGGATTGATACTTTACAAAAGGAAAATGAATATTTTAAACAGCATTATCTTTTTCTAATGCTGAGTGTAACTTTTTAATTACTGAAGTATTTATTGTTTTCGTTCACTAAATAGCTGTCCAACCTTTTTCATCTACATTCCTTTGGAACTCTACCTTTGAAAATTAGAGAAAAAGAAAAAGAAACGAAACTAAGACTTCTTAACATTCCATAGATTTATGTAAGTATACCTGGGTTTGAATCCTGGCTTTACTACTTACATTTACTAGGGCAAATTGCAATCTAAGATTGTTTCCTCAACAACACTCACATAATAAATAATTGAGCCACATGCCAAGCACTGAGCTAAATTCTGGGAATACAATTCTCTAGTCACAAAGAACTTAGTTTCATTTCCTAATTCGTAATATGTGAATGATAATGACCCAACAAACAAACTAAGGCAGGAAGACCTCAGTGAAGGTCAAATGAGACTGTGAAAGGGCTTCAAAGATCAGAAAACACTACGCACATATTTATTCATCCAAGCATTTATTGGAATGCCAGACATTGTGCTAAGCACTACAGACAGAACAGCTAGCAAGGCACGGTCCCTGCCCTCGGAAAGCTTACAGTCTAACAGTGATCAATAAAGACGTAGCAACAAAATGTGCCAAGTGTGAGGCTGGGAAAAGAAAAGGGTATTTAGAGAGAGTGCGCAGTGGGAGCACCTGGTCTAGAGGGCATCAGTGAAGGCTTCCTAGAGGTGGTATTTAAACTGAGACCTCAAAGATGAACAGAAATTGTATCTTACCCTATGCAGTGGTGAAAGCAGTGGAGAGATATGACCAGGTATGTCTTTTGGAACAATCTGGCTACAGCGTTAAAAAGGATCAAAACCAGAGAAAAAGAGACTAACATGGATGCTGTTGCTATAATTTAGGTAGGCTGATGGCCTGAATTAGCATGGTAGCACTAGAGAAGTGAGAAAAACCTTAGACAGTAGACTTAACACAAAGGTTTTTGTGAGCAGATGTGATGAAGAGTCATGGATAGATCAGTTTTTGGCTTGGGCTAGGGCAACTGGTAGCAGTAGTGCCATCCACTGAAAGAGGGAACAGAAGAGGGAACAGGTTGGGGGCAAGATCAATGGCATGCTGTGGTGTCCATGAGACAGCAGAGTGATTTGAGTTAGCAATTAGATAGATATGTGAATTAGGAAAGGCCTAGAAAGCAGATATGAATTTGGGGGTCATTTGCATATAGATGGTAACTGACCACGGACAGAGATGAGAGCAGCTAAGATGATGGAGAAAGTAGCTCTGAAGCAAAATTTTAAAATCACAAGAACACAAACATGTAAGGGAAAGAAGTGCTTACGAAGCTGACTGAGAAAGCATACCTGCAGATAGTAGCTACCCCTGAAGCCAACATATACAAGTACTTCAAGGAAAAGTAGTCAGTGGTGTCAAAGAGGGTAAGAATGCTGACAAGGATCTAGCTGGGTAGAGTAGTTTGAGCGGCACTGACAGACTGGGAATACAGACAAAGCTTTTCAGAAAACTAGTAGGAGTGGGAGATATAGGGACAAAAGTTTTTTTTTTTTTTTAATAATACTTATTTTAACTATATTCACTGATACAACAGGACCAGTAACAACTATTTTGTAAAAACAAAACAAAATTTAAAAGACTGCCATGCAGTTACAGAATTACTTAATACAGAAAACAATAATATACACACATTTTTTTTTTTTTACAAACAAGACTAGTTTATAGCAAATTCTCTATTATTTAGGGTCAATTTTAAATCCTTAGCTTGTATCTCCACCCCAACTCAGTGACTACATGATGCAAACTAGTTTTATTACCTTAGGCAAAATATATAGTGGAACTTCACAAAATGTACAAGACTTCAATATTTTAGGAACTAGAGTAGGAAAGCAGAAGTAGGTCCTCCAAACACTTTCAGTAAAGCAAATGCAATTAAAGAGAATGCTCCAAACTACTGGCAAATTACCGGTAGATTGGGGTGTGGGTGGGGGTGTGGGTGGAGGGGATTGGTTGGTTTTTCACTGTTTTCCCAGATATTTAAGCTTACTGCCTGTTAACCAAAAATATCAACTTGACCATTCTCCATTACTAGCTTGTTAAATAATTGCTTTTCTGCTCTAATTACGTTTAACAGAATAGAGCCCTTTAGTCTGATTCAATATAAAACTGACTTATAAATGCTACTCTGAGCTACCAGAATCTATCACAGCCTTTACCTCACCTTATCAGCCAAACCTGGAATGCTGGAATTAGTTTCCCCTACAAGTAGTGTCAGCTTGCCTGACCTGCCTTTCTCATCCTGCTTCTACTGGTAATTTGCACTGTCCCTCAAATTAAAATAATCTACAACGGGGAATCTACTGGCACTTTGGGAAGCGTAATTCTCCATTGTGCCTGGCTGTCCTTTGTATTGCAGGGGTGCTGGGTGGGGTGGGGTGGGGGGGTCCTTCATGCTTAAATGCCAGCAAAATCCCCCCAGATCAGCCTGACGACAAAAAAAAAAAAAAAAAACAAAAAAAAACAAAAAACCCTGTTTTCCAACAACCTCCGGAAACAGGACTTATTGCTTCTGGTTGAGAACCACTGACACAATCTTGGTTCCTGAGCTCTATGACATCTATTTTGATTACTCAGGCAATTCCTTCTAAATTGTTGGTTGCATCCTGGTTCCATGAATTTGTTGGATTAGTGACCACAGAATAGCGTGTTACAATAGTGAAGACAGGACTTTAGCACAAGTTTGCAAATTGTACTTGAAAGGACCTCTAAGTTGGGTCCTGCTTTTAACTCATTTTTTATATTTAGCTTACCGTAAGATTTATTTCCTTTTTATGGTTAACAGAAGTTTGAAAATTACTGTTTTAGCATAAAGCAGATGTCTCACTAGAAATATGGATTTGCTACAACCTGTTAATAAAAATGCTTGAGAGTCAAATATTTCTACTTGTGCACTATCTTAAATACAAAATGTGTGGGGCAGTTTTAAGTTCTATAATAAATCCACTTCCAGCAGCTAACACAATCTGACGTCATATCACTTTAAAATAAAGAGTTCCCTTTAAACAGGATTTCTTTATAAAGCAGTAACACCCATGCATAAAGCTAAAATATCTCACACCTCCTGATCCTGGAGAGCAATAATCTTAATAATCTTATTGTCATCCTTTTTTGATAGGGCCAAACTTGTCTGGAGTAGAATAAAGAATTACTACTAATGGGCAACCATTAAGATTCTATACTTACCGTAGTCCTTTAATAGGCAAGCTGATAAAACAGCACCCAAGTGTGAAAAATTCAGGGGAGACCCCCAATAACTGGATAGTCTGATTTCCAAAATGCAGGAAGCCTCCTAAACCAGCAATTTAAAAATAATTCTTACTCCTCTAAACTAAAATTTTGTATGATTTTCTTCTACTGGTAATATTATCGATAGGGCAGGAGGGGGCGGGGGTGAGAGAAATCTGTATTTACTTCAGACTCAGAAAAATGTTTAAAAAAATAGTCTCAAACATTTTGATAATTAGACAAAATACCTCCACTGTATGTACGTTCTTCCTTTTCAGAAACTTCTGAACTTGCTATGTGAGTTTCTGCAAACTGGCTCAAACATACATTTAAGGAGTTGATTACTTCAGACCATATGCATCAGAATTTTAACACTTTGTTAAAATAAGAGCTAAAATTTCTTCAAAACATACTTCTAACTCAACTCACATCAATAATGAACTTCTTTAAAAACAATTATATCATAAAAGCAAAAGACAATGACTTTGTCATTAAATTTTTAAAAAAGGTGTTTGCATGTCTCAGTCCCATGCTGCCTCTTGAGATGGAAAAAAAAAAAAAAAACATGTCAGAAGAATCTGAATCGTGATCAAGTTGGATGAATAAACTTGGTGCCTTGCCACAATCCAAATTAGTTAACTTGAAAACCAGACAAATGTTTGCTCTTAGAATAAGATTCTCTTTGAGTGTCTCAGTGTTGTACTACCAAGGCTTATGGATTGGATTCATTTCTTCCTCTCACAAGGTCATCCCAATGCGGCTCTATTTCAGTTGTGGCAATCCTAAACAGGGCGTGGAGATGCTCGTCTGTCAATGGCTGGCTCAAAGTGTGTTGGTTTCGAGTCAGATAGGAAAAAGCCTTTTCGCAGATTTCATTACTATCAAACAAGGATGCCACCTTACAGGCAACCCCTTTGATGATAGGGTAAGATTCAGCAGACAATCCAGCATAGAACTGCCCCAAGTCTTTGACTCTGTATTCATTCCAAAGGTTAGTATTCGCCTGAAGTTTTGTTAGCTCCACCCTTACTGAAATAGGTGCATATTCAGGTTTAAAGTTAAAAGGATTTGCAAACAGTTCTAAGTCCTTTTTAATGAATCTGAGGTCCTTGAAATGTCTCTCAAATTCTTTCTGTAGACGACAGATCACCACTTGATACCTATCAGGATCAAATATTTTTTGATCTTCTTTAAGATGCTGTTTAAGCTCATCAACAACTTCTCTGAAGGCTGCAAAGTGTGTTAGATTTTTTTCCTCAATATGTCTCTGCAGTAAATTCAGCTTCACTTCAAAGGTACAGATATGGTCAAAGGCAGCAGCAGCAAAGACCTTACTGACTCTCAGTAGCTCACTGAGCTCTCGAAGGTGGTCCATAATATCCACCAAGAAGCCGAAGTCACAAAGCCACTGCTTGTCTGTGAAATGGACTGTCGTTGCCCCTATTGACACCAAGAATGCTTCTATCTCTTTCCGCAGGGAAAATATTAGTTTTAGAGTTTTCCCCCTTCTAAGCCAATTGTTCAGGCATCGTCCATTAACCCTTTCGCCATGCTCCGATTCAGATTCAGTCAGTAAAGCCTGAAATTCGGGGCGCCTAACCCCTCTGGTCTTAATCAAAACTATCCATTCTGAGATAGTATTTATGATCTGATTTACGTCTACATCGTAGGAGCTCAGCAGTTCCAAGTGCAGGAATCCTGAATAATGGATAACATTCCAACAGTTGGGGCTTACAGCCTTCTCCCTCATGTACGACACCAGTCCCGAGTTCTCACCGATCATCCTCAGAGTGTGGGTCGTGGTCAGTCCAACCATTCGCTGCAAGCTAAGCCCTGCCGTCTGCAGGGCCTCAAGGATGGCCGCCATGAGGGCACCAACGCTGAAGTGGCGAGTCAGGTTGATGATGGTCAGAAGCTCCTCTTGCACCTCCAAGTCCTGGCCCACGCCGCGGACAAAGACCAGCAGGTAGTTCTCGTAGGCCACAAAGGCCTGGTCGTCCAAGGCAAGGGAATAGGCCTTGAAGTCCTTGGCTCTGTCGAAGAGCTGGCTGCGTAGGTTCTTGTTAATGTTCAGGACCCTCTGCCGCGTGACCTCCGGAGATAAGTCCACACCGTCCAGAACGCCTACGTGATCGGGCAGGACATCCCTCAGCATCACTTCCATGCACTGGTACACGAAGTCCCCTTCGCCCCAGCCGCGACCCTTCAAGGCCAGGAGGCGGGCGAGCCCGAGGCCCGCGCGGGCAGCCCTCTCCTCGGGGGTGAGCGGGGCGACCACCGGCAAGTCGCCCTGCCGCAGACGCTCCACCAGCGCCGCGCGCTCGCCCTCCGCCACATACCGCTCGTAGTAGTCGTGCTCGGCCTCGTAGTGGCGCCGGACGTCGCGTTCGCGGGTGGCCACGACCAGGCGGCGGCAGACCAGGCACAGGGCCCCCTCCCCCTCCGGGGGCTCCACCACCAAGTAGCGCTGGGTCCACTCGGTTCGGAAAACGCGAGATTCGTCGACTTCCATCTTGCTCCTCTTGGGCGTCATCCACATCTTACTGCAGGCCACAAGAATAGGGCCGACCTCCGAGAGGCCGCAAGGAGAGGGGGGGGGGAGCGGGAGCGGGAGCAGGCGCCTCCTCCGCTCTGCGCCAAATCACCCCAGCAGGGGGACACCAACCTCCGTCGGCGGCCCCCGCCTTCCTATTGGCTGCAGATTTCGTAGGCCTTAGCCCAGGAGCGAGCCAATGGGGAGAGCGGACAGAGCGCAGGCGCATACGCTAGAAGCCGGCGGCCTGAAGCCGTGCGCTTAGGACGGGACCGAGACACCCAGCCACCCGCGGACTTAGGACACTTGACTGGCAGGCGGCTGCCCAATCAAGAGCTCCCGTGCTCCGCAGCGACTGCCGGGGGGAGGTGGGACAAGACCGCGTAAACAAAGTTGGTGGAAAGACGTGAGCACGAAACCCTGAGGTGATTGGTTGAAGTCACTTCCGGTGAGCGTCTCGACGGGACTTAGGCTCCTCTGGCGCCAAAATGTCGCTCGTAGCGGGGGTTATTCGGCGGTTGGACGAGACAGTGGTGAACCGCATCGCGGCAGGGGAAGTTATCCAGCGGCCGGCTAATGCCATCAAGGAGATGATTGAGAACTGGTACGGAGGGAGTGGAGCCGGGCCTCCTGATCAGCTACGACTTAACAGGCCCCTCTTCAGGATGGAGTGCGGACACGCCTCCCTGCCCCGGGCGGAGGCGCATACGGGCATGCGCAATGCGCCAGTTGCCGCGGGATCCTGCCTCCTTGCTTCCCGCGTCACGCGAGTTCCTGGGCGCTCTCGCGAGAGCGCTGTGGGGTCCGCCAGTGGGGGCCGCCTAGTACTGTTGTAATGGCGCCGTCAGTTACCGGAGCTGCCTTTAAACTTGTATGTGCGGAAGGGGCGAAATTTTAAATGCATACACATTTTCGGGGGGGGGGGGGAGGATCTCTTCATGCTTCGGAGGGTACCGTGTTATGCGTATTAACGTTCCTTGTTTATTCCAAAAATAATCCGTTCAATTCGTTTTCTTTTTATTCCAAGTAAATTGTCGAGGATTTAGGACAGGCCAACGGACTTTGGGTTTAATTTGTGATTTTCCCTATTGCCAAATTAGTGACCCAACTTAGTGTTTTCCTCCCTTTCCTTTCTTAGTGTTTTTGGGGGGTTGGGGGGCACATCGAAGATTCCTGATTTTAGGGAGTTTCCCGTGGATTCTTAAGTCTGGCCGTGTCCCTGGAAGGAAGAGGTTAAAAACCTGGAGAGAAAGGCGGGTGTCAACCATAAACTTCAAAAAAGACGTGCTCATGATGTACCTAAGCGTCACCTTCGTGCTGAAATCAGTTGATGCTAATAAAACAAATAACGGTGAAAGAACAAAATGACCCACGAAGGCTGGTGGGTGTGTGGGGAGATCTGTTGTGAAAACATAACCCAGCGCTCGGGGAACGGGACTGAAGGGACGGGGCGGCAAGGGCCTCTGAGGGAAGGGAACCGGGAGGCGCGCCGGGGCGGGAGCGGCCGGCGCCGGTCCCTTGCTCTCCGGTAGAGGCGGCGGGTTGTTCCATCCACGCCGGAGCTCCCCGACGCGGCGATTCGCTGCCGCTCCACGCACAACCGGACCAGCCTATGGTTCTGTGTGGGGTCCAGTTATGCTCGTTTTAATATGCAAATCAAGACTTCATTTCATGGGCTTCTGAGGAAGGTCTTTGAGTAACTTACTGTCTTTTTTTTTTTTTTAAGATTTTATTTATTTATGAGAGACAGAAGCGGAAGGAATAGCAGGCTCCCTGCGGGGAGCCCAATGGGGACTAGATCTCGGGCTCCCCGGGCCCCTCCCCCAGACCTGAGCCTAAGGCAGATGCTCAACCACTGAGCCACCCAGCTGCCCCTTACTGCCTTATTTTAGAAGAAAGGCTTTTCTGCTTGAGGAGCAGATTACTTTTCTTTCTCTTGCAGCCACAGACTGAATTTGTTTTCGGTAGTCTGTGCTCTCTGTGATTGTTGGCTACTCTTTGAAAGTACGAAAGATTTATTGGCTTCTCAACTTTCTGCATTGCCATTTTTCTCTCTGTCCCCCACAAAATGAATTTTCTTAAAAGGGAATAAATAGAAAAATACAAATGGTTTTTTGAAATGGCATCTTATTAGGGTCACTTGGGAACCTGAGGCTGAATAAAATTGAAGTAATAAATGACAAAATTAATTGAGAAGAAGGTAAGAAGTAGGCACATGGTAAAATGATCCTACTTTTAACTTCACTTACTTTCCCAGAGGAACAGAAATGATGTTGAATGTCTTATTGGAAATGCCTCCTCATGCCTCTCTCTCTTCCCCCTCTCTCACACAGCATGTAAACTCATTACAGTGTAGTCACAGAGTCTGGGAAAAATGGAGGAAAAACACATTAATCAGTCTTCTATTTATTGGGAATTTGTTCTTACAGTTTGGCTCATATTAAAATACGTACGTTAGAATAGTTGGAGAATAATTTTTTTTCTCTGTTTGATTTGCCAGTTTAGATGCAAAATCCACCAGTATCCAAGTGGTTGTTAAAGAGGGAGGCCTCAAGTTGATTCAGATCCAAGACAATGGCACTGGGATTAGGGTAAGTGAAACCTCAGAGGAGCAGGCTGTTTGTGTGCTCTGTGGGATACATCTACAGGAAGTGACTGAGAGCCCTTCTCTGTTCTGTTTCTGGGAAACTGGGCTTCTGTGGATGGGATTTTTTTCTAACTGAAATATTCAATTCTAGTGATAAATATATATTGAGTACCAAGTCAAAGCTGGCCCTTATTCAGGAAAGTAAGGCCAAGGATAGAGTCATGAGGCTGCTTAAAGGATGAATGTTCTGGGCAGAGAGAACATGCAAAGACCACGAAATGGAAGTACACTTGACTTGTTTAAGGACCAGCAAGGAGGCCAGAGTGAGGCCTCTAACAGGGTGAAGAAATGGAGAAATAGTAGGAGATGAGTAAGCTGGTCATAATGGACCCCATGGGCCCTTGTAGAATCTTTAACTTTTAGTCTAAATAAGGTGGGATACTGTGAGAGGGTTTTGAGCAAAGAGGTGACATGGCTTGGTGAGTTTTATAAGAACCCTTTGTTTAGAATGTAGAAGATAGTCTATAGCAGGACAGGACAAAGGCAGTGAGAAAAAGACTCTTGGAGGATCCAAGAGAGGGGTGACTGTGCCTTGGACCAATTTGGTTGCAGTAGAGAGGCAAGAAGCATTGAGATCCTGCATTGATTATGAAGACAAAGCTCTCAGAATATGCTGATGCATGGTGTAGGAGAAAGAGGAGTCGAGAATGATTTCAAGGTTTTGGCCTGTGCAAATGGAAAAAAAGAGTTGCCATTTACTGATGAGAAAGCCTATGGAAGAAACACATTTGAGGCAGATCAGAAATTCATTTGGGTGCATGTTAAACTTGAGATGGCTCTTAGTTGAGTAACTGTGTGAGTCTGGAGGGCAGGGTAGAGGTTTGGGCTGTAGATAAAAATTTAGTGTGTTGCATTTTAATGGCATTAAAAACCATGAGACTCCAGTGGAAAGGTGCTGAACATTACAAGTCATTAGGGAAATACGAGTAAAAGTAGCTAGCTATGACATACTATTTGACACCTGTTAGCATGGCAATTATAAAAACAATATAATAACAAGTATTATAAAGGATATAGAGAAATTAGAACTTTTGTGCATTTGTTAGTGGGAATGTAAAATAGTGTAGCCACTATGGAAAATAGCCTGCTGATCCCTGAAAAAAATTAAAAAGATTTACCATGTGATTCAGTAGATCTGGTAAGTATAAAGTCCAAAGAATTAAAAGCAAGGTCTTGAAGAGGTTTGTACACCCCAGTTCATAGCAGCATATTCACAATAGCCAAAAGCTGGAAGCAACCCAGGTTTACATAGATGAGGGGATTTAAAAATGTGATATATATATATTGAAATATTATTCAGCCTTACAGAGAATTCAAACTCAGGCACATGCTGCAACATGCATGAACCCTGAAGATATTATGTGAAGTGAAATAAGCCAGTCACAAAAGGACAAATACTATATGATTTGTCTTCTAGGAGGTTCCTAGAGTAGTCCCATTCATAGAAGGTAGAATGGTGGTTGCAAGGGGGCTTGGCAAGGGGAAGATGGAGAGTTATCGTTTAACAGGGACAGAGTTTCAGTTTGGGAGGATGGAAGGGTTCTAGAGGTGGATGATGGTGATGATTGGACTATAGTGCAAATACACTTAAGGCCACAGAACTGTACACTTAAAAGTGGTTAGGGCAGCCCGGGTGGCTCAGCGGTTTAGTGCCGCCTTCAGCCCAGGGCCTGATCCTGGAGACTTGGGATCAAGTCCCACATCGGGCTCCCTGCATGGAGCCTGCTTCTCCCTCTGCCTGTGTCTCTGTCTCTGTGTCTCTCATGAATAAATAAATAAAATCTTAAAAAATGGTTACAATGGTGAAGTTTTTTAATGTATATTTTACTGTAATTAAATGCTTTTGTAGCTTTTTAATAAAAAGGTTTCTAATAATAATGATTTATATATAAAATATATAAATTTTATATTTATATATAAAATCCATGTGGCTGGGAAAACTCATCAAGAGAGTGGGTGTAGACAGCAAAGAGGTCCAAGGCTGGAGTCCTGGGTTACTCCAAAGTCAAAGATGAGATGAAACCAGCAAATGCAAATGAGAGATGTGACTAGTGAGAGAGAAGGGACATCAGGACAGTGTGTGGCATTCTGGATGCCAAGTGAGGAAGTTACTACTGATAACTTTTTTTAAGAGGGATTTCTTCTTGGATTCAGTCAAGAAAAGGAGAATTCAAGATTTGGAAAAATGAATACCATAATTGTTTACTTATTTTTTGGTATCTTCTAGAAAGAAGATCTGGATATTGTGTGTGAGAGGTTCACTACAAGTAAACTGCAGTCCTTTGAGGATTTAGCTAGTATTTCTACCTATGGCTTTCGAGGTGAGGTAAGCTGAAGATTAAAGAAATGTGTAGAATATCCTCCTGTGATGACATTTCTGCCATTGGTCAACATATGTTTCTAAACAGAGGTAAATAAGATATGATGCTTTTTACATGTTAAATATATGCAAATTGAACAAACTTAATTACATTTTATTTTCC